ACTGGAATTTCTTAGCGCTGAGAAAGTGGACATGGAAACAGACATGACCGACAAGGGGCGAGAACTGCGCTTTCCTTCTCCATACAGTAACGCACATGAAGGTTGGCGTGTGGAACAGATTTTGTATTACCGTCAGTGGTGGACACTCAAGTACCGCTGGCATACGATGGACTTGAGGACAGAGGCAGAGACTTCTAGGGATGTCGAACTCGAAGTTTGGCAATTCGGCCTCAGATCAGGAACACCTATCGAGTTTTTCGGCTTTGACGGAAATCCAAGCCGCATGCACAGAGATGATGACTATGTCATATATAGAGTTTCTGCCCCGCGTCCTGTTGCTCCTGGAGCGATTGACAGAGCGAAGACTTGTGTAGAGGGAATTGGAAGATATTACGCCGAGTGTGCGAATATTGGTGTAAGATCTCCAATCAAAAGACGTATGTCTCTACCAGATGAATGGGATTACGAGCTCTACAAAAATACCAAAAAAGAAAAACTTGGTAGCCGTGATGATTCTGGGTTGCCTTGGTACAGGAATTCTTCGGTGTTCCTCTATTGGCGTACTAGCAATTAGAACCTGGATCATTTCTTCGGAAGGTATATTTCCAATCTATCAGATAGGCTTATGTAGCAATTAACAATACAAAAGTGCGTTGGGATTAATGTGCCTTGCTAAAGTCTATGACCGTGAGACCATATTTCGATTAAGGATTGATAAAGTGCTCGGCCAACCTCTTATTAGATGCCATTTTTCATTCATGCCCCAGCCGCTTGGTTGATAGCACCACCTCCTTAGCTTTTCTGAGAGCACCATGAAAGGAATGTGCCTAACTTGGGAGGTCGTGCTCACGAGAGCAAAGATTCACTGCAACACCAGACCACATTCGTATTCACCTAGTAGGAGCAGCATTTTGCGCTCCAGGTTGAGTTATTCTCATGTTACAACTTGAGTTCTTCAATATACAAACCAATAACAAGAAGGTAAACTCAATACTCACACTCCCAAACTTACCATACTCCTCCAACTTCCTTCCACAAATTTCCTCGGGATTCTTGTTAATTCCCGAGGCAACTACGCTAAAGATGAAACCTCTCCTATCCCTATATATGTATCAATAGCTTCATTATTTCAATCAGTAGCTTTCTACCACTCCCTGATCTGACAATTCTACCCTCAATCTCTAGTTATCCTAGTCGTTGAGTGAAAGCATCAAGATCTACTCGACATAAGAGGATCAATATAGCGAACGAGGAGTCATCTTTTAGCTCGACTCTTGGGAGTAATACCGAGAACCATGCCGCTTAATAATTCCATAAGCTCGGCGAGCTTCCAGCTGAGTTGCGAATTCGAATCTGGATGTAAGAACTTACTTTGCAGCACGTATTTTTAATGTCTAGAAATAATTTACAGGGTTGCCTTAACTTACCCCTCTTTATTACAGGAACGTTTCTCTAACTAAACGGCTTGCTTGAACCATCTGCACCTTGACAGCATGATGTGACTTAGTGAATGTTCCAGACCATTTGAATCATCCATGAGTTAGGATGGAAGCATTTAACTTTCAAAACATGATATTTTCGTCTAGACTCATCATTATTTGTGTTCATGAAATCATTGCCACTTTACACCTCCAAGAACATTCAGCCGTAGCTTCTCGTTCATTCGAGCACTTGCCCACACCTCAAGATCTTCTCACAAAGAACTAATCCCCCACCTGCCCTTAATAATTTCCGCCGCCTTCTCCGCCGCCGCATAAACCGTCGCACTAGGCGCCGTCCCAAGCTGCATCGTAAACCGACTAACATCTACCACACTCAACCCCTTCACCCCATAAACCCTCAGCTCACTATCCACTACACCACCGAGTTCCCTATCCGCCATAGCAAGGGTACAGCACTGATGTGCATTGCTTGGTCCAATCATGGAATTCTTCAATACTGTTCGTAAAGCGTCCAAGTCAGTGATGTTTGAGCCGGGAGTGACTTCGGTGGGGCCGAGGATTGTCATGCTGGGTTGGGAGAAGAGAGAGCGTGCTTTTAGGAGGAGCAAGAGGGTGGTTTCGAGGTCGATGGGGTCGGAGAGGGAGCGGTAGTCTATTAAGGGGTTGGCTAGGGGGTCGGTGGATGCGATATTTACTGTTCCTCTTGACAGAGGCTTCAGCGTGTAAAGCGTGGTGGCCAATCCCGTGTTCCATGAAATACTTCCAATCGTCGACTTCAATGATTTGTACTGCTCGAGGATGAGTTTCCGTTGCTTTTTGTAGCCTGCGAGAACTGTTGGGTGGGTGTCGGCTGGGAGGAAGGAAGCTGGGTCTGCTGATGCGACTTGGGCGATTATGGAGGCGTATTTGCTGGGTGTGGAGACGTTTGTGAGGGGAAGAGAAATATAATTGTTGCCGGTGCCCCTGATTAAGGTGTAAGCACCTTGGTGAGAGGAATGGTAGAGGGCGTTCTGTTCGGCGTTGTAGGTTGCGTTTGCGTCGAGGGTTGCTGCGTTGGGCTCGATATTTGCAGAGACTATCGAATGGTATTAGCAACGGATCATCTCTGAAAAGTCTGAGGTTGGGTAAAATGATGGAAGGAATTATGTTGCACGTACAAGTGTAGTCAATCTCAGTGCTGAGCTGATCCTGCAAATTTTGTCCAACACCAGGAAGATCAAGCACAACATTGATTCCTAAGCCCTGAAGAAGTGCCTTCGGACCGACACCAGACAATTGAAGGATCTGTGGCGAGTGGATACCGCCAGCCGCAATGATAACCTCTTTGCGGGCATAGACTGGAGTCTTTGCTCCTGTAGTTTTGTTCACATACTCAACTCCAATGGCTTGCTTTCCTTGAAAGAGAACTTTTCCAACGGCATGATCTGAAAGAATATGGTAATTTGGACGAGAATTGATCACTCGATCGTAGTGGTTGATTTTCGAGTACGAGCGAGATTGCTGGTCTGGGTCGAGTGATCTCAAGAGCCAATAGATACCGGTGAGATCGCCACCATTTGGATCCGATGACGGTCGGATACCAGTGCTGACTGCTGCTTCCCAGAAATTTTCTGTCATAGAGTTTTAGTACCAAATCAAGAGGGTAGATTTTGAGACTTACTGCTGGAAGCCCAGTCGAATTTTGAGTAACTGGCGTGGACTGGCCCACTGACACCCTTCAACGACTGGTTCCAGGAGATGTTCTTTGCAGCCGCCCAGGCAGGGTCGGGGCTCGTAAAGTTCTCACTCTATCGCGAATTAGTAAAATGTTCTAACGTCATTTTCCCTTTTCAGGTCATACCTTCTTGAAATATGGAAGAAGTCCATTCCAATCCCATCCAGACGCACCCATGACATCCCAATTTGCATAATCCGAAATTGCTCCTCGATGGAAGAACATCGCATTGATTGCTGAACCACCACCAACAGAGCCTCCCATAACAGTATAGAAAGTTCTGTTGTTCAGGTTCGCTTGAGGTGTGGTGAATGTGTTAGGGAACAAATATTGGAACGCAGGAAACAATCCTGGAACAAGAACACTATCTTCTCCAACATCAAAGGGGCCATACTCAATGACGAGCACTTTGACTAAAAAAAACCTGTGAGTAGATATTTCTCCATTTTCCAGATTTGACTTACTGTTTGGGTCTTCGGTCAAACGATCGGCAACAGTGAGACCTGCAATCCCACCTCCAGCAATGACAAAGTCATAAGTACTGTTGGCTGCTACCTCAGCTCGAATGACGCGAGCATATCTACCTAAAGATGCGCCATTGACACCGAGGGCAGCACAAAGTGACAGGAAGATGGAGGGACGCATTTTGACTGAGCTTAGTTCAAAGCTACCAAAGCGGGGTTGAACTCCAGCTTTATCTACGCTGAATTTCAAGTCAATCAATATTAGAGTAAGCACTAGCTCCAATCATATTGGGAACCAACAGTTCGGTTCATGGTATGATGGTATGATGGTACACGGTGTAGGCGGCTCATATACTTCTCTTGGAAGTTTCCGATGCAAGACGCTGCTTCTGCATATTCGTCACATATTGAACTTGATCAAGTAAACGAGTAAAAAGGCGTTTGGGCCTGAGCGGCCCGATCCATTTCCCGGCGAGCCGGTTGAAGGATTCTTGGCTGAATGCAAGTTGTGCTTTTATCCCTGGTAAAATCCCCTGTTGAGGTAGGATTGGGGACATCAGATGAAGCGCTTGAGCCGAGGACCACGTGAGATACCCCCACGATTGCTTCTAGAATTTTTAATAAGATTCCTCGCATTTCAGATGTCGTACAGAGTACGGATAAAAATGGCTGAAGAACGAGGCTTGACCATGGGATCAGCGGTCAAGCTGAGGAACTGGAATGAACGGAATGGAAGTCGCAAAATGGCCAAATTCAGAACAAAGGTGTTCAATTTCGCCTCCAAATGTTAGCACGGCATCTTCCAAGATCAGAGTTGCAGTGAGCTCTCAGGGACGAGAAGCATATATGAGAATAAAACGTGGAAGAAATGCTGCGATGAGGAATAGAAAACCATCTAAAGTGAGACTCGACATCCGAAATGAATCCAACAATTCAGAGCTTCCTCTTTCGCTCACGCTCAGACAACAGCGCCGTATGTTTTGTTTCGAGGTAAATGATATCAAAGGGTGTTTCCACGTGGTGGTGTGGATAAAGGTGGAAGATTGAGCTGAGGGATGCCAAAAACTTGGATCCGATGTGGACGCGGTACCCCCTCATCGCTTGATGACTCTCCTTGTGATGTTGCATTCGAAGGTCCAGAACACGCGTCACTGTTATTGACTGTGTAGGATGTCATAGTGTTGCAGCGAATGTGAATGCGACGTTCGTGAAGAGACGAGGGGGATCTTGACCGCCTGAGTCCTGCCGCCGCCGAAATAGCGCTAGCGCATCAGCTACCAAGCCACAAACAAATTGCGCAAAAATGCAAAAAGAATTTGCCTCCAACGATCCTCAACACACGACGCGAAAGATCGCAAAAAAGTCAAAAAAACATAGTCTTGGACTTGCAGGGAATCGAACCCTGGACCATTCCCATGCTAAGGGAATATTATACCACTAAACCACAAGCCCGAAACGTGTAATCGCATAATTTGTTGAAGAGGAAATGCTTATTTGGCTCTATAAAGCCATTGGGAAGTCTGTGGGGCGGCTGGGTTGAGAATCGCCTAGCGCGGGTCGGAAAGCGCTTAGCGTGGCTGGAGAGCCGAAGAAACCCCGGCCGCGAAATTCTAAATTTCCATCTACCTCCTCTCTCTTCCACAACCTCATGAAACTTCGGATTGTGCTGCAGGCTATGGATGGATATTGCCGTATGCATATATAATCGGGTGTTCGCTCTCGGCTTATAACAAGCTGCTTTCTTACGCGCAAGTCACAGCGTCTTCCACTCGTTGTCCCAATATAACTCTAGTCTTCTCACCTACCTAATGCCACCCACCTCACGCGATTGTCGAATTACACTGCAAAATTATCGTAGGAAATAATTATTTCCATATGCTACCGGTATGGCAAACTAGGCCTCGTTGATCCATTATGTCGCGATGCACGCAAGTCGCAGCTTCTTTCGACCATTTCCTCCCAACTCCATCCTCTTCTTGAGGCTGCAAATAGCAGAGTCTATCTTCGACACGCCAAAATTTCCGTGCAATCCATACAAACATCCGACATCAGATCAATGATAGCTACCACGGCACTGCCTTTGGCCCCTGAACATCCCTCCACTGTCCATCCCTTCTCACCCCCTCATGACTCTCCTTCACCTCCTGCACCCCCATCTCCCCAACCCTCAACTTCCTGAACCCCCATTTACCAGCAGCCCAAATAGTACCAATCCCCACACTCGTCAACAAAGTTGGCGGAGCAAGCACGAATCCAACACCACTGATCATTCCTCCGAACGCCGTCGCACCGACAGCTGCCACGACCGATCCAACGAACGCATATTTTGCATACCGAACGATACGCCAGAATACGAATACACCGATATAACGGAGAGAGCGGAGGAGAGCTCGTGTACGAAGTCGTGCTGGCCGAGGTGATGTTGGAGAATTTGGTGAGAATAGGAACTGTACATTGCGCTTGGCAGATGCAAGAGCGGAGGATGAACGAAGGTTTGCTTGGGTTTCGGTGGAAGAGATGTCCGTTGCGGGTTTCCCTCTTGAAGGGGACATTGTTTTTGACATTTGCGTGGACAATTGGAGATCTTGAGAGTTCGAGATTGATATGGAATTTGACATTCCAGCTAGTGCAGCCTCCAGACTTCACTACGTCATCATGCATATGAGTGGTTGGAGCAAGTGCTCCCAGTGTCTAGCCAGCTTCAGTATAGAAGAGAGTTCAATCAGCGCTTCTAGTGGAATATTCTCTTTATATATATAAATATGTATGGATAAATTGTTAAGTTTACCACTTACCCTCGTCCTAGAAATAGCCTTCCAGTGCGAGCACACCCCAGGATTCATCATCATTCGTCTATTGCGCTTTTCAATCCCATTTTGGTCATATAGGCAATTTCTGCGCAACTATGGTCATCCCAATCTCTCCCCAGGTTGGGACTATTTCCCACAACTGAGAACTTTATCTTGAGAACTGTTGACCGTAAGACTCTGTGGGTGTGCTTTCTTTTTCACGATTTTGAATTGTGAAACTCTCTCGGCTAGTTGAAGTCCTGCTGATACCTTTTGAAACATAATCTAATGATTGATCTCCCTTTGTCCTTACGCTTTCTCATGTTATTGCGTGTTCTTTATCTTGTTGTTAATCTATGAATCATGTCGCTGTTCGTAAATGCGAAAAATTTGTGACTACGCCAGAACATATAGTCCCATGAATCAGTCGAGCTATAAGGCTACAATCACAAGGTAAATACAGTGGGTGGCCACAAGTCTAAACGGATTACTTAATCAGCGTCTCCCCCACCACAACTCACTCTCGCATTTAACCTATTAAATAGGCAAAATTAAAGCTATTCATATTATAATTAATATATACGATAGCAAAGCGTCCAATTCACAATTCTGCCAATTTAGTATTTTGTATACCACCCATTTGCAGCCTTCACAGCGTCTACCCTCTTCTGCATCCCCTCGGCTAGCTTATTTAAGAGCTCTGGCGCCAGGGTCTCCCAAGCCTCCTGCGCACACTCAATCATAAAGTCCATAACTGCCTTACTATTGCCCATACCCTTAAGCTCAGGATATGCTCTATCGATTTCTGCTTTTAGCATCTTCTAGAGGTTTTCTATCAGGTTCAAGTCTGGCGAATATAGCGGCCAAGCCATAACAACTATCCCTATCTCTTCTAGGAAGTCCGTGACCTTGTGTGCCTTATATATAGGGGCATTATCTTGTATAAAGATATTATCGTGCTTAAGGATTATAGGAAGGTATTCGCGCAAGACCTTGATGTATACTCTAGCTATAACGCCCCCCCTCTTCGCATTCTGGTCCCCCTCCATTACCACTAGATCACTCTTATACCTAAAGCCAAACGCTGCCCAAAACATCTATGTTTTACCCTTAGGTGCCTTGGTCTGAATTGCCTATATCTCTAGAGCTTCACCTAAAGGTATTAATAAGTAATTAGCCAAGGCATAATAGGTATAAAAAGAGGGGTAATTTACCCCGCTTATAATATACCCACTTGATGGCGCTCCCTTCCTACGCTCAATTAAGCACTTATCTGACTATTATAACCTTCTCCAAAACTCTACTAGTTTCCTATTATACTTAAGAGCCTATTCTATACGAAGTCGGGCATGTTCTGCCGTAAGAAATAGCCTCTGCTTTGCCCTCCACTTCTATATGCCCGATTTTTGAAGGTACTAATAGATTGTCTTCTTAGAGGCATGAGGCGCACACTAAACAAAAAGCTGCTAGGCAGTAATCTTTAGATTTACCACAATAGTATGTTATATATTGCGGTGATTGCCAGGAGTAAGGACGGAGGGTGCACCTACATGTTTATTAGTGATACATAAGGTCTGGTTTGGCGCGTTCCGGACGATTAATCTATAGGTGGAATCTACAAGCGATTCTATACGCGCAATAGCAGGAAATTTAATGCCATGATTATAAGCACTAACGACTCTTGATCTTTGATTAGGAGAGACTTCCCCTAAGGGTTGGCGTGGTACTCCAGGAGGCTTTATTTGTTGTAGTTGGTAAGTTAGAAACGCGTAAAAACGCGCTTTTACATAATCTCGCTTAGACTTGTGGCCACTGACTGTATATCTTCTCAATAATTCATGTCAATTGCGTAACCTAGCTAAAATCAAAGTACATCAATCCTCTATGCTGCTCTCAACCTTAAACTCATTCCTCCACTCAAGTCTCAACCCAATGTATTTGAACGGGGTCGACATACCGACACTGCGGTATCAGAAAATCATCCGGATGGTGGTAATCCTTCGCCGACCCCTCTTCATCACTCCAGGCAATCAAGAATCTTCTCGGCACAAGGAGCTCTCTCCTTCTCGCTTTCTCACAAGCATCATTCCCAAACTCTGCCCAGAAAGGCTTGGATTGACCAAGGAACCTTAGCTCGCCTGGATACCGCCTCGCCATATTATACATGGCCTCACGAATGCCTTGATATGCCACATTTCCATTTTCTAGCCTGTATTCCTTGTGTTTGAGCTCGGTAACGATGTTTCTGATGTAGAATGTTGGGAGAGGCAGCCAGTCACAACCAGAACATCGAGTACGGGTGAATTCCAGTTGACTGATACAGGGACTGCAGTGGCAATACCGGTGCCTTGTTAGGAATCCGTGTTGTTCTCTTAACCCGCCGCAGCAGACGTCGGTGTTGCCTTGTATAAGTTGTCTCCATGAGGTCATCTTTGTTTGGACTGTTGAAAATGATTCGTGATCTTCGTTAGTCTGTCTCGAGAAATTCCGAGAAGGATAGATGTCTTCTTGTAAGAGGAATTCTAAGTTTTGTGGAATAGAATTTTTAATTTATATCTCTTCAAACTTCAGACCGTGAATCATACAGCTCCCAAGCAAGTGTCACCCTTTATTCGTAAGATGTGTTACACCACATCCTTGACGCTCGTCTAAAGTTCTGTCACATTTTTGACTTACTACATATAGATTATAGATCAATTCTTAATTCAAGGTTATCAATACTGCTATTCTACATAATCTTCAGAGCACTTGCCACCTATCCAAAATGCACCAGCACCTTATTCAATTCCGAGTACCAGATTGTCCTTTCCTGAATATGCTGGTGGTGGATCCAAAAAATGCCAAACATACCATGAAATTTCTCCGTTATCGCCCTGATCATTCCAAGCGAGCAGAAATCTTTTATGTATCGATCTTATGCCTTTCCTAGCCCTCTCTAGTGCTTCAACTCCGTGCTCCTTCTCAAAAGCTTCAGAGTCAAAAATCACCTCGGGGAGTGATGTACGACTAGGACCATTGCAGCCTCTCAGCTTCCAACGACTGTTCCACATCTCACTCAACTTCTCCTCTCCCTCTTCCTTTGCGAATGTCTTGTGGTCGAATTGAAAATTGCCGGTCCTAGGAAGAGGTCGCCAATGACAATGTTCGCAGCGAGTACGAGTCTGAGTGAGTTCCCTCACGCACTCGGCGCAATGACAGTGTGGGTGCCAAGACTCGGAGTCATGGAAATCTTTGGCGACACAGCAGACGCCTTGTTCGTTTGTGTAAGCTGGAAGCGGTAATCCGAGATCGTTCGCGTCTACAGGATATGGCAGCCCAACATCGAGCGTGTATGCTGGTGGATCCATATTCGAGCTTTATGTAGGATGATCCCCGATTTCAAATAGCCGTATAAAGTTTTGCAGTCTATTGGGGTGTGTTTTTCTTGCTGCGAAAATCGTATTTTAGTGGACAGCAATTCATGAACTTTGGCCTCTTAATTTCTTTTTCGATCGATGAGCGACATGTTATTCACAATATCTGGAATTCCTTCGTCCGTTCCACGATCGCTGTCAATTTGTGAATCATTCAATGATTTCTATGATACATTCGACAGGTACAGAACAAAAGTACTGTAACTACATCACATGTCTCCTCTCACTGAGAAGAAGCTCCACTATTTAT